GACAAGTGAGGAAATCCAGAGAGAATCATCAGGTCATTTTCTGAAAAGCTGTACTCCACAAAATTTGAAAACTTAAAGGAAATGGACAATTTTCTGGATAAATATCACTTAACAAAATTAAATCAAGAACAGATAATCAATTGAAATAGTCCTATAACACCTAAGGAAATAGAAACAGTCATCAAAAGTCTCCCAACCAAAAAAAGCCCAGGGCCAGATGGCTTCAGTGCAGAATTTTACAAGAAATTCAAAGAACAGGTTATACCAATCCTCCTCAAAGTATTCCATGCAATAGAAGCAGAAGGGTCTTTGCCAAACTCTTTTTACTAGGCTTCAATAACATTGATACCCAAGCCATGAAAAGACACAACTAAGAAAGAGAACTTTAGACCAATATCTCTCATGAACAGTGATGTAAAAATACTCATTAAAATACTGGCAAATCAGATCCAAAAGAACATATCAAAAAACTCATCCACCATGATCAAGTAGGCTTCATTCCAGGGATGCAGAGATGGTTCAACATACGAAAATCCATCAATGTAATCCACCATATAAACAAACTGAGAAACAAAAATCACATGATCATCTCACTAGATGCTGAAAAAAGCCTTTGATGAAATCCAACACCCCTTCATGATAAAGGTCTTGGAGAGATCCGAGATAACAGGAACATACATAAACATCATAAAAGCTATATACAGTGAACCAACAGCCAACATCAAACTGAATGGAGAGAAACTCAAGGCAATTCCTCTAAGATTAGGAACAAGGCAAGGCTGTCGCCTCTCCTCATATCTATTCAATGTTGTACTGGAAATTCTAGCTAGAGCAATAAGACAACAAAAGGAAATCAAGGGGCTAACAAATTGGAATGGAAGAGGTAAAACTTTCACTATTTGCATATAATGTGATAGTTTATATAAGTGACCCAAAAAACTCTATCAGGAAACTATTACAGCTGATAAACACCTTCAGGAATGTGGCAGGATACAAGATCAACTCAAGAAAATCAGTAGCCCTATTATATACAGACAATAAAAGGGTAGAGAAAGAAATCAGAGAAACATCACCCTTTACAATTGCCACAAACAACATAAAATACCTGGGGGTAACCCTAACCAAACAAGTGAAAGACCTGTATCGAAAGAACTCTGAGTCTTTAAAGAAAGAAATTAAAGAAGACACCAGTAAATGGAAAGATCTCCCATGCTTTTGGATAGGTAGGATCAATGTAGTAAAAATGGCAATCCTGCCAAAAGCAATCTACAGGCTCAATGCAATACCCATTAAAATCCCAGCACAATTCTTCACAGACCTTGAGAGAACAATTCTCAACTTGGAAAAACAAAAAAACCCAGAATAGCCAAGACAACCCTGCTTAACAAAGCAACGTGTGGAGGCATTGCCATCCCTGACTTCAAGCTCTACTATAAAGCTATAATCCTGAAAACAGCTTGGTATTGGCACAAAAAATAGGTAGGTAGACCAATGGAATCAAATTGAAAATCCTGAGATTAATCCACAAACCTGTGAACACCTGATTTTTGACAGAGAAGCTAAAATTATACAATGGAAAAAAGATAGCATCTTCAACAAATGGTGCTGGCATAACTGGATATTCTCATGTAGAAGACTGCAGCTAGATCCATGTCTATCACCATGCACAAAACTTAAGCCTAAATGGATCAAAGACCTCAACATAAATCCAGCCACACTGAACCTCTTAGAAGAGAAAGTGGGAGGTACCCTTGAATGAATTGGTATAGGGGACCACTTCCTAAACATAACACCAGTAGCACAAACACTGAGATCGACAATTAATAAATAGGACCTCCTGAAACTGAGAAGCTTCTGTAAGGCAAAGGACACAGTCAGCAAGACAAAAAGGCAGCCCACAGAATGGGAAAAGATATTTACTAACCCCACATCTGACAGAGGCCTGATCTCCAAAATTTACAAAGTACTCAAGAAGCTAGTCTCCAAAACACCAAAGGATCCAATTAAAAAGTGAGGTACAGAACTAAATAGAGAATTTTCAGTAGAGGAGTCTAAAATGGCTGAGAGACACTTAAGAAAGTGCTCAACATCCTTAGCCATCAGGGAAATGCAAATCAAAACAACTCTGAGATACCATCTTACTCCTGTCAGAATGGCTAAAATCAAAAACACCAATGACAGTTTGTGCTGGAGAGGATGTGGAGAAAGGGGAATACTCCTCCACTGCTGATGGGAGTGCCAACTTGTACAGCCACTATGGAAATCAGTATGGAGATTCCTCAGGAAAATGGAACTCAGTCTACCACAAGACCCAGCAATTCGACTCTTAGGCATATACCCAAAAGATCCCCATTCACACAACAAGGATGTCTGTTCCACTATGTTCATAGCAGCATTATATGCAATAGCTAGATCCTGGAAGCAACCTAGATGCCCCACAACTGAAGAGTGGATAGAGAAAATGTGATACATTTACACAATATGGAGTGCTACTCAGATGAAAAAAAACAATGGAATCTTGAGATTTGCAGGCAAATGGAAGGCACTAGAGGAAACCATCCTGAGTGAGGTAACCCAGACACAAAAAGACAAACATGCTATGTACTCGCTCCTATATGGATTTTAGATATGTATAAGGGGAGTGTCAGCCTACAATCTCAGTGCCAGTGAGCCTTGGAAACAGGGAGGTTCCCAAGAGAGATGCATGATACCCCAGAGAAGTGGAATGAGGCAAGATCTCCTGAAGAGATTGGGAACATTGGGGGAGGGGAGAGGGATCCAGAAAAAGAGAGGGGGATAAGAGGAGGGGAGAAGAAGGCATGGGGGAACAGGAAGGTTGAGTTGAAGTAAGAATAGAGGAGAGCAGGATGAGAGATACCATAATACATGGAGTCATTATAGGCTTGAGGAGAAAGTTGACACTAGTGAGATCTCCAGAGGTCTACAAGGATAACACCAACTGGCAAACTAAGCAATAGTGGAGACAGTACATTAGTAGCCCCTTCTTGATGATAAGGTTGATGACTATCTTATATGCTATCCTAGAACCTTCATCCAGTGACTGATTGAAGCAGAAGCAGATACCCACAGCTAAACACTGAACTGAACTCCTGGAACCTAGTGACAGACATGGAGAAGTGATGAGAAAAGAGGTCAAGACCATGATAGTGAAACCCACAAAGACAGCTGACTGGACAAGGGGGAGATCTTGAGTCCCAGACTGATGGCTGAGAGACCAACAGGGAACTGACCCAGACTCCATGAATGTAGTGTCAGTGAGGAGGCCACAGAAATCTCTGGGACCTTGGGTAGTAAGTAGATCAGTGTTTACCATGCTGTATGAGTGATCTTTGGGAGCCCATTCCAAATAGAGGGATGCTCTCTCAGTCTGGACACATGGGGAAGGGCCTGGGTCCTGCTCTGGATGAAATGACAGACTTTGGAGATCCCCCCAAGGAGGTCCTCACCCTCCCTGGGGAATGATGTGGGGACGGGGTGGGGGTCTGGAGGAGCTGGTGGAGAGACAAGCGAGGAGGAGTGGGAGAGGGAGCTGGGATTTACATATGAAGCATTCATGTTTCTAATTTAAATAAAAACATATATTGAGAAAAAAAGACCCAGCAATTCCACTCTTAGGCATATATCCAAAAGAGCACATTCATACAACAAGGATATCTATTCCACTATGTTCATAGCAGCATTATTTGTAATAGCCAGAATTTGGAAGCAACCTAGATGCTCCTCAACTGAAGAGTGGTACATTTACACAATGGAGTACTATTCAGCGAATAAAACAATGGAATCCTGAAATTTGCAGGCAAATGGATGGCACTAGAAGAAACCATCCTGAGTGAGGTAACCCAGTCACAAAAAGACAAACATGGTATGTACTCTCTCATATATGGATTTTAGACATAGATCTGGGGAGTGCCAGCCTACAATCTCACGGCCAGAGAGTCTGGGAAACAGAATGATGGAAGAAGAGGCACACTCCCAAGGCTAAGCACTGAGCTGAACTCAAGAAAGCCAGAGACAGAGAGGGAGGACTGATGAGCAAAGGGATTAAGACTGGGCTGGTTTAACCCCCAGAAACAGCT